CCTGGTCATCTTTCGGAACTGATGAATCAACTTCTTTTCCTTTAGCGAAAACAATGTTTCCAAGATGAAGAATTGCGGCAACTACCCTGAAAATGGCTTCCTGTGAAAGAAAGAAAGAAAGAAAAAAGACTGTCATTCCTCGTTTTTTATCATAAAGCTGCTGAATGCTTGCATACCTGCTCCTTGCCACTAATTCCGACAATATCCATAGCTCTTCGTGTCTCAAGATAATCTTGGGCATCACTTACACCGACCAATTCATAGCACTTTGACTGGTTAAGATAGTGATAGTTTTTGGGGCTTCCCAACTTGTACTTCTCAACTTCCTGTTAACGATAGTAACTTAAGCCCCAATTTAAAATAAATAAAATGACTAATATTCATCAGCAGTCAGATAATCTCACAAGAAGCCGAAAAAATACCTCCTGTGGTGCAGCACAGAGAAGATAAAAACAGTCGTAGTTACGTTCGGGGTCGGAAACTTGGCAAACACGAGATCTCTCTAGAAGGTAAGTTCTGATGGCAGCTCCCGATATTCTTCCATGCTTATCAAATTGGATTTCAAGAAATTTACCGAAACGACTGCAACAGCATTAGTATTAGGAAAAATCAGTGTCAAACCATTTATTGCTCTATTTAATGAACATCAAATGCTATTAATCATCAGTTGGATACAAAAAAATCAAATCAATATCCTTGCTTGAATTTATTTCCTTTAAAGAGTGTCTTACCTGGAGTTGTTATTTTGAACAGTTTTAGCATTGCCAAATGCTTCAAGAACCGGATTAGACTGCATTCAGGTAGTATATGATACTCTTATCAGTTATCGTGCAAGAAATCAGGGAGACGCATGTTTGATGAGAAGAAGAGTTAAAGTTCTCAATCGTACATCAAGAACTTGTTGTTCAACTGTCCGTCCTTCGGTGGCAACTCGACCTCCTAGATGCATAAGCATCTTCGTGGTCTCAGTTTTACCTGCTCCACTTTCACCACTAGCCAGAATTGAATTGCTTTTCCCTTCATTAACCATGGCCCTGATTGAAGTTAAGATAATTCTTCAAATCTTGTTCATAGATTACCAAAAAGAACGCACAAAGTAAAGAAGAAGAAGAAGAACAATGACCTGTAAGCAACATCGGCAACCGCAAAAACATGAGGACTTAGTTCCCCAAAGGGGGCTCCCTTGTATTGTTGCATCATATGAGAACCATAGATGTGTGTCAATTTTTGGAATGGATTAATAGCAATTAATGTATTCCCCGTATATGTCTGCCATCACCAGTATGTCAAATACACACACACACACACACACATATAGCCATATAAACTGAAAATGCAAACAGTTGTGGTTACATCAAGGGAAGAGAAAGCTTACATAAATTTCATTGAGTTCATATCTAGTTCTCAGATTCTGCAAAACTCCAGGTTCATGCAGATAAGATAGCTTTGTCATGTCATCAACTCCACCAGCAGGAGCTTCCATGTCTTTCGGATATATTTTCGTTAACTTTTCCATGATCTTAACGTTAACCAACACCACAATACTATCTCAGTACAATGAAAACCCAAGTAAAATACATTTTACGTAACACTAAATCCTGTTTAGACGTTTTTGTTCAAACACATATTCGAACATAAATACATAATCATAAGAGTATGATATTCCAAATATACAAAAAAACTCAGAAAACCATAAAAGTACCCAAGTCAGACATATAGAACAAATGACACTCATCCCAAATCCAGGTAAGAAAAGATGGTTAATATAGGTAATGAAGAATACCTTTTTCCCATTAGAGGTGTTAATCTCGACATCTTTTCCAGTAATTTTCGAAACCACCCCATCGATCCAAGATACATCTGGGTCTTCAGCCCAGACGTGAGAACCTACAGTAATATTTACAGTTGCCTGTAATCTATCAAAACCATTGTTAACATTATACCAACAAAAAGAATCATTTAATAACATACATTCATTGTTAACATTACTACATGTATCCATGCAACCATGATATTCAACGAGTTCAAAGTTCGAATCTTGACATTCATTCTTTCTACACACAAAAATAATAAGAACAAAATCGAGTATGACCCGAAGTTGAGAATACCATTGTTAACATTATACAATCAAGAATTTTCATTTAATAATAAACAGTCATTGTTAACATTACTACATGCAACCATGATATTCAGCGAGTCCAAAGTTCGAATTTTACTCTCTTTTATACACATAAAAAGAATAAGAACGAAATTGAGTACGACTCGAAGTTGAGATTACCATTGTTAACATTGTGAAAAGAAAATTTTTCATCAAGTAGCAGACATTTATTGTTAACATTACTACATGCATCCATGCAAGTGCAACCATGATCCATGCAAGTGCAACCATGATATTTAATGAGTCTGAAGTTTGAATCTTGACATTCATTCGCTCTACACAAACAGAATAAGAACAAAATCAAGTACGATTTGAAGTTGAGATTACCATTGTTAACATTGTGAAAAGAAAATTTTTCATTTGATAACAGACATTCATTGTTAACATTACTACATGCATCCATGCAAGTGCAACCATGATATTCAACGAGTCTGAAGTTTGAATCTTGACATTCATTCTCTCTACACAAACAGAATAAGAATAAAATCGAGTACGACCCGAAGCCGAGATTACCATTGTTAAGCTCTCAATCCGAAGCCTGGCAATGCATGGTTAAAGATGGAAACAGGACACAACCCAAGTTGGGAAAAAGGTTCATCTGATTGCATGAAAATTGAGGTCCAAAACATAATTAAGACTGCCCCAGTTTCTTGAAAAAAGAAACTGCAATGCAAATGTAATTAACTTTCTCGGGAAAAATCAGGGAGGCAGAGAGAAAAGGGTGGTGAGTTATTTGTGTTGTATGGAAGTGAGTGGGTTATTCAGAATCTGACATTGTTCGTTAGAACTGTTAAGTTCGGTTTTTTGTTTAACCTTTTTTTTTTTGGGGGGGGGGGAATCGTGGTTCCTTACCGATTCATTCTCTCGCTCTTAAAACCCAAGCAACTTGCTTTGATCTCATGGGAATAAATGGTGATTTCAAGACAGTGATATTATGCATTTTTATAGGGTAAATACACGTTTAGTACTTTAACTATCACTTTTATTTCGTTTTAGTCGCTTAACTATTTGTTTTTCAAAATCATCCCTAACATTACATTTTGATTTTATTTTAGTCACCCACCGTTAAAATATTAACATAACTACTGATATGACATTATCTTATGGTGACACTTTACAATTTGAATACTAAACATGTAATTTACCCTTTTATTTATAAATGGAAGCCTATAATTGCTCAACTAATTAAGAAATTACAGTTCATCGTCAGTTAATCATTTTTCCTTAGTTTCTTGGGATAATTTTCAATTTATTTTCAATAGTATAAATACATATGATCAGATTTCATAAAACAATATTCGAATGGCGTTAAATATTGTATTATTTATTTTTTTGTTAAGCTAAGACGATTATAAAATAGTATAAGTTCTAAATACTATTAATCATTTGATAATGAACGTTTAATAAACCCTTACTACAGTAATTGATGTTTAAATCCGGAACCTCTAAAAATAATAATCATTCTTTTAATTTCATATCTATTTACTTATTTTCTTATTTATAAACCTACTAAAAATGATATTTGATATCATCTTAACACTGTTCATAGGATTATTTTTTGCACTGATAGTGTATAAACAATAACCTATAATTTATTTATGAATAATCGACACACATGAGTAGTTTATCCCCAAAAAAATATCAACACGTAGAGATAATGTTACACAAATGGTACACAATTATAGAGTGTCACTTTGTTGAGTCTCTCGATCATTAAACGTTACAATATCTCACTATAAGGTGTTGTTTTGTTGAGTCCTCAGATTATTAAAAATTATAAAATGATTATATGACTATTTAAATGTTCAAAACTCGTCCTTTTATTGTTAAAAAGTTGGTGGCTCTCTGAGCTAGACGTAAGTTTGTTGATTGACATATAATAAAATCTGATCCTAGAATCGTTTTAGTTATATTTTGTGGATTGATTCTTCGTTTACGTTATATTGTTGAGCTAGTGCTTAAAATATTATGCTATCAAGCTAGCGTTTAAAAGCAGCAGCGGTGCCACCAATAAAATATAATTTTTTTAGCAAAAAAAGACGAATTTAGAAATGAATAGTGAGGAGACTCAATAAAACAAGAAGTTATAGTTAAGTGATCATTCTATAACTTTTAATAGTCAGAATAATCACCAAAACATCACTACATAATCGGAAAACCATTTGTACACCTTACACAAATTTTATTTTGTTTACTAATGTTTGAAAATTAACACTAACATCACCAATTTCACTTCACTGATTAGTGATCATAATACAACATTTTAAACAATAATGAGTTAAATAAAATTTTATTAAAATAATACTGACTTTACTGTTTAATTTACACTTAAATATAACTTAAAATTTATTTTTTAAAAATTGTATAAGTTTATCAATTTAAATCTATTTTTTTAAAACTAAAATTATCTATCATCGCTTTTCCGATTATCTTGTGACAGTCCACATGCAATTTATTATCGATTTAAAATAATATCACGTAAATGAACAATTTAAATTATAAAATCATGTATTATTACAAAATAATTTATTATATGCGTAATAGACTGTCAAGCAAGTAATCCACGTCGATCATTAATTAATAATTGTCACACGAGCTACTACATTAATGTTTTAAAAAGTTTAACCATTCAATTAACATTATTTGTTGAGCCGACTCCTTTTTAAAAAGAAATATTATTTTTCTTAGAATATCCGACTTTTAGAAATATAATAATTATCTAACAAAATAACTATTTATAAATCCGACCCAAACCGACTGTGATACTTGGGCGGAAGCAAGAAAGACGTAATTTTGATATGCCATCCATGCAAATGGCCATCAAAATTCATCCACTGAAACATGGTCCAAACAGTCATAAATACCACATTAAATGTAAAACACACAAAATTAAGCAAAGTTTAAGCATGAGACCCTACAAATTTACATGTTACATTACCATAGGATGCAGTGTCTCACACTTGAAAAACATACCACTTTCCGACTTTGTTTACTAAATTTATCTTCTTAACTGGCTCACCTAAATCCGATGATAAAACAGACCCATAGGACGAACCAGCATTACCTTTCAGTTGCCGTCGTCGGTCGCTTTTAAGTAAAGGGTTTCACCCCCATCACCACCCTGACCTCCGGAGCTTCCTCCACGAACTTCAACTGACCCTGCACTCCCGATATCTAGCTTGCTTCCACCTGCCATTGGCCTGCCACCATGAATACCTTCACCCGAAGCACCGCGTCCAAAATCAGGAAACCCTCCACCCCCAAGTGCTCCGCTGCCACCTGCAGAGCTAGAATCAGTTTGCAGCCTGTGAAGGCCTGTGCTTCCGCCGGAGCTCATGCCGAGCTGACCGTGCAAGGCTTGTTGTTGTTGTTGCAGTGCAGAAAATGGTTGCTGAGCATACAACATCGAGGACCGTGCAGCCATAAGTGATTGTTGAGTCATCTGTTGAGCTTGTTGGTGCTGCATGTAGTGTCCAGCTCCTGGCTGCATAATACCACCGGTTGGAAACTAGAAGCAATCGACAAAGACAAGTTAGCAAATGCACCACAAGAAAGATATCCGGTGAACCCTCAACGTAAAATGTGTTTAAAAAAGATAACTGTTCGAAGAATCTAAAAACAGGGTCAGCACCTGCGTATGCACAGCGGGAGGTTGGGGTTGAGAATCTGCAATTGCAGCCAGGTACATGAGGTTTCGCTGCAGCCTTGCTTGGTTCCTGCAACAATCGGAGCCGGTCAGTGGCCCTTCTAAGACTACCACAAATATCTTCATAATTCATAACTGGTTTAAATTAGATATGCACTGATTAGTACAATTATCTGATTGCAACAAGATAAAAGAGTTTGAGTTGAAAGGTCAAGCAGAACCTTAATATGAAAATTCTCGTACTTCTCCCGGAAGCTTAGCAAATTCAAGTGGTTTCAAAACCTTTGTTTTATCAGCCAAATATGAAAATCTCACCGGAAAACAAATGGAAGTTCAAGCTTGAAAAACCACAAAAATGAAGTAAAAATTAACTTCATAACCATAGACACTAGACATAGAGTGAATACATAATCCGCAAACTAACCAAACTTGTATTCGGAATCCCGAAAATATTGCAATTGAAGCAGAATAGTGACCCAGCAGTAAGCATGAGATAAAAATAATGAATTTACAACTATTGTCGCAGCAAGCGATACTTTGAGACACTGTGGGGGGACCAAGGTTAAGTCGTCAGGAAAAGCAAGATGGCACAAATACAAAAGTTGGACTTTCCAGAAAAATGAAGACAGTTTCTTTTTGGTTACAACTTAGAAGCCACTTCAGGTTTCTCCGTGTCAGTCGAGAACCTCGGCTGAGATTCCATGTTTTGGTATCGATATCTACTTTAGTAGGATTTCATATTTATCGAAAAACACTTATTTGCAGAACCTCTGGCTAGAAGAGAAGAAGTTCAGGAACAAACTAGCAATGCAGTCATAATTTTGACAGATAATAAGCATCAGATCAATAGAAAAAATTATGCATCAGTTATTGGAGATTAAAAATCAATCTACACTCGAGTATGATATATGTTAGCAAGAATCTAACACTTACTCAGCACATTCACTCAATTTCCCGGAATTCTGGCTCTCGACAATCTTTAAGATCAATGACTTGTTCTCGTCAAGATACTGCATTCCATCAAAACAAAGTCATAGAACAAACTAATAAATATTTTTAAAATGAATTGGAAAGAATATGCAGCAAATACAGCTTTAGAATCTTAGTGGAAGTGGACATAAAACAGCAGAACGACCATTTTGATCCATAACCAGTCTTAAGTAATTCAAATCATCACCGGCTAAACTTTTAGGGGAGGGGAGAGACGGAGAGTAAAATGCTCATTAATAACAGTAACAACAAATCCAAAAAAGTAAGAAAATGAACCAAGGATTACTTCGAAAAGGCAACCAAATCTATGCATCATTGGATTTACCTTAATCAGAAAGCCTGATTTCATATGACCAACCATACAAGAAATTAAGAACATATTTGCAAACAAAAGATCTAGGTTGAAAACATGTCGTGTATCCGGGAAACACATCATATAGAAAGGACCACCGATAAACAATTATCGAGAGAGGACCACCTAAACCAGCAAAGGCCGTATCAGAAGGTCATAGTGTCAAATGGAACAAATGGAGGACCACTACAGAAAAAGCATTAAGAACTAAAGCCATGGGGCCCTAGAGCAATGAGGTAACAAAAAATGTCATGCATACAATCCGACTTCCAACAAGCTTATTATTGTCAACAAGAAAAGAGTTCATATTAGTGATCCCCCAACACCTATGTTGTCCTTAGAAACTCCAATTACAACAAATCCTCACTATATTACCCAGTTAGGTACATGAAATCAATTTTTTTCTACCGCTGTAAGCCATCGGAGCAGCCCACAGAAGAAGAAGAATCTTACTTCCTTTGGCATTGTTTGTAAGTAGTAGCTAATCATCTGAACTTTTTTATGGGAAGTTTAAACCTAGTGCTCATGAAGTCTATCCAACGACGAAATTTCGTCGGTCATTCCGAAAAAGGCGAATTTTCTTCGAGGATTAATTCGATACCAAACCAATTCATTACATAAAAGCAATAACTTATAAGGAAACTGGATTAAGAACAACTAAATACCAAGTGAACTAAGGCTGAAGCATCAAAAGCTGTAAGATTTTCATATGAACCATAAAAATTTGAGGGAAAAAAGAGTCCCAAATCCAAAATGACAAATGCACAAACTCATATACCAAATGCCTCCAAATTTCATCAAGAAAAAGAACATTAAAAACAATATACAAAGTAAACTACTAATCACCAGTAAAATCTTCTTAAAATACATAAAAACAAACAAACAAGACAAGACAGTTAGAAGTTGAAATCCACTTACCAACAGCAGTCATCAAACGAAACGAGAAAAACAATAACTTTTTCCTAAGCAATAAAAAGGATAATGCAGCTTTTTTTCCATTAATCTCTCACTAATCAAAGGAAATAAGAATGAGAGCAGAAAATACACGCATACATTCATACATACATGTATACACATAGTGATAAAAAAACAAATAGAATAGAAGGAAGAAGAAAGAGAGAAAAGGGAAGAGGACCTGTTGAATATGATCAGTAGTGACGTTGGGATAATAAGCTGCCATCATGGGCTGCATCTGCATCAGGTGCTGCTGCATTTTCTTCCTTTATATCCACACAAACTCTCTCAAAAATTAAAAAATATATATATGTTGTCTCACTCACTCTTTCTCTTTTTGTATAAAGAGATAGAAAAGAAAATGAAGTATCCTCGAGACCAAAACAAACTGAGCTGAAAGAAGAGAATCACTACAAAAAGAAAAAAAGAAAATTGCAAAGAAAGGGTTTTTGCCTTTTTGGGTGGTTGCTGCTGCTGCTGCTGCAACGAGAGAGAGAGAGAGAGTTGAGAAAGGTCACGTGATGGATGATGCAGATAATTGAGATAGACAGAGCAGAGCTACAAATTCAGACACTCTGAAAGAGAAAGGTCCCCCCCACCCTGCAAATTTTTTGAGTAATTAAAGAAAGAGAAAAAAAAGGGTTTTTTTATTCCATTATTACATTTCATTTTCGACATGACTTTGTCTGTTGGTGATACTTTGGTCTTATCTCCTTACTCGAAACACAAATAACATAGGTTATTCCAGTTCGTAGGATAATTACAGTTTTATTGAGTTTAAACACTTTCACGAGTTATATCAAAACTTAAAAATCAATAGACAAATATTGTCATGGTTAGAGGTGAGTTCAATCAACTCGACTAGAGTCAAAACAATTAAGTTATTTAAATTTATAAATCTTATTTTATAATTTAAATTTTATTCAAAGTTAAATTTATAAAATTTGAATTATTTATGTTTTTGTTTAAATTTAATTATAAATATTTATAATACTATGAAATTATTTTGATTTTATTTTGATTGTATTTTAAATAATTCTCTATAAACATATATATTCATTCAGATTTTTAAAATTAAAAGTTTAGGTATTAAACGCATAATTGTTTTTATTTTTTATATGTAATATATATATATATCATATAAAGTTAAAAAAATTCGACTCAAATTTAAAAATTATCTCCTATTTACTAAAGAGTTTAAATTATACGAATTTTATTTTATAACTTGACCTAAATTTAAAATTTTTCTAATCGAATTTATTTGTTTTAGCTAAATCCGACTAAAAACATGTAAAAATGTTTGTGTGTAACTGGAATCGAAATATGATAGGAAGTATTTGCTAATTAATTATAATTAAACTTTGAATTATTATATTTAGGGTAAAATACATAAATGGTCCATCAACTATAAGATAATGTTTTATTAAGTCATTTAACTATTGAAAGTTATAAAATGATCTCTGACTATAAGACATTACTTTTTTAAGTCCTGACTATTAAAAGTTATAAAATTATCATCCGACTATTCATTGTGTTCTAAATTCATCATTTCTCCGTTAAAAAATGATGACAATTTGATATAGACATTAACATGGTAACTGATATATGATATAATCTAATCTAATAATCTCAACCTACTATCATATCTCAGTCAGTAATTTAATGTCCAGCACAAACCTCATATCCTCTTAGGTTACAAATTCTAGACCTACTAGGAGCAATTTCCTTATTTCTCTTAGAGTCCATCATTGCTCTTCTTTCTAAATAAGATTAAATTTAGAATTTTTCGTAAAAGAAATATAGCTATAAGTAAAATAATTATAAATAATAAAATAGATATTAAAATTTTATGTGACGACAGTACCAATATGTTATGTTTTATAAAAGAGAAAATCGCCTCAGTGACCAAAAAAAAGTTATAATATACGATTTTAACCAACTTTTTTTGGATTTGCCAAAATGACCAACAAAATCGCAACGCGAAATAAAAATCGCAACGCGATCCCCAGAATCGCAAATCAGTTTCCAAAATCGCAACGCGATTTTTGAAAATCGCAATGCGATAGTACAAATTCGCATTGCGATTTTCCAAAATCGCAACGCGAATATGAAAATCGCAACGCGAACACATAAATCGCAACGCGTATCCGTAAATCGCAACGCGTATCCGTAAATCGCAACGCATATGGGTAAATCGCAATGCGTATCCGTATATCGCAACGCGTATCCGTAAATCGCAACGAGAATCTGTAAATCGCAACGATAATCCGTAAATCGCAACGAGAATCTGTAAATCGCAACGATAATCCGTAAATCGCAACGAGAATCTGTAAATCACAACACTGAAATTTTGGGTATATAACACTGAAATCATAAATTAAATCCCTAAATCGCAACTCATTCTATCTCCATCTATCACTCTCTCCGGCGACATCCGTTCCTATATCCGGCGACATCCGTTCCTATATCCAACGACATCCTTCCCAATCCGGCAACAGGTTTTAGTTTCGCAGCTCGTCTGTTTAGTAAATTAATTTACAACCATGAAATCATCTAATGTTGATCATGTTTGGATAGATTTGTGTTTTGGAGGGTCATGGGATAATGTTCATGGTGTTTTACAATATATGCCTTTACCCATGAATCTTCAACTAAAATTGTCTTTACAAAAGTTAACTTATGAAACTCTAATGCTACGTGTTTCAAATAAATTGAATTTAGAGCCCCTAAGTGGATTTAGGCTATCTTATCAGAGAAATGGTAAAGTTTATTTGTTAACCGACAATGAAGATGTTGAACGATTCATTGCTTACATTAGTGTTTCACAAGATGATGTTACATTGTATGTTGTTGAACCTAGAAGTAGTATTGTTGGGTCAGTAGCGGGTAGTAATCAACTAAGTTTTTCTCAAAACCCACAACCTTTCTCTAATCCAAATCCCAATCAACTTTCAGCACCAAATTCCGGTTTTCGTATTGACCAGTTAGACGATGATGAGCCAACAGAAAAAATTGTGAGTACTAGTCAGTATTCGAAATTTGGTCTTGGTCAATATCCGGACTTTGATATTGGTCAATACACGGATTTTGATGATGTTTCAGAAGAAGAAACAGACCATGTGTGTAATGATTTTCATATTGGTCAATACCCGAATTTTGATGATGAAACACCCGTTGCCGAGGAAGATGTTGTTGATGATAATGAGGAGGAAGTTACGACTGTGAATGAACATGTTGAACATCCATTCTGTAATTCATATAATCCTGAAGAAGAAAAAGAAGAAGAAAAAGTCCCCGAAGAAAAGAAAATGCCACGGGAGTATAACTGGAATATGCCAGAATTACTTCAGTTACCGGAAGAAGAGTTGGCAAAGAAAGCAGTTGATTGTTACACAAAAGTTATTCGTGTCAAGAAAGATGATTGTTTTGATACAAAGGAAGACTTGAAGATAGCTTTGTATACGAAATGTGTGGAAGATGGCTATCAACTAAAAGTTAACAAATCAAGCAAAGATCGTTTCGAAACAAGGTGTATGATTGACAAAAACTGTACGTGGCGTATGATTGCAAAGAGAATAAAAGATTGCAAAATGTTTCAAGTTAGGACTTTTATTGATAAACATACATGTTCAAGAACCCAAGTTTTTCCTCACCATAGACAGGCAAACAAAAAGGTGTTGGGTGGTTTTCTGGCTGAGTTAATGTTTTTGAATGGCAGGGTATATCGGGGACATGAAATTATGACTGACATGAATGCTCGGTTCAAGATTAGTATATCATATTCTCAAGCTTGGAGAGCCAAATGTTATGCCTTGGAATTGTTGAGGGGGTCGCCAGAAGCATCGTTTGCCCAACTGTCGGCTTATTGTCACAATTTAAAGCTGAAAAATCCTGGGTCGGTAACTCATATCAAAACAGATAGAGATGGACGCTTTGAGTTGCTGTTTATCGCCATTGGTGCTACGGTTAGTAAATCAATATAATTTTGTTGACTCATTTTGTTAGTTACATGCATTTCACATTTAAATGATTATATTTCTTGTGTATATTATTTTGTAGATTCGTTCGTTTATTACTTGCATGCGCCCAGTTATTATAGTTGACGGAGCACATTTGAAAGGTCGATACCTTAGAGTAAACTTATTAGCAGTAGCCATGGATGCTAACAATGGGATATTGCCAATAGCTTACGGGGTTGGCAAATCTGAAACCTCTGATTCATGGACATGGTTTATGGGGCATCTTAGGGATTGCATAGGTCCTATTAGCAATCTGACAATCATATCCGATAGGGCAAACTCAATTGACAACGCTGTTAGAAGGTGTTTCCCAGATGCTTTTCATGGACTTTGTGGTGTTCATTTGTATAGAAATCTAAAATCAAGGTCTGCTGGTATAAAAAAGCACAAATGGACATACTGGAAGGCTGTAAAAGCTTATCGGGAAGTGGATTTCAATAAGCATATAAATTGTTTAAGACGTGTTTTGCCTCAGTGTGCTCAAACACTAGAAGATGTCGGGTTTGAAAGATGGTCAAGAGTACATCAACTTGGAGCAAGATATGGTTTCATGACGTCTAATAGTGCAGAATCAATCAACGCTCTAAGTCGTCATTCCCGGAAATTACCCATTACTATGTTAATGGAGTTTTTTCGAGCCTCTATTCAACAGTGGTACTACAAGAAAAGAAACCATGCAGGTATTATTTCTTTGAATTCGTAACTTATCATATTTATATATTTTACTAAGTATTGTTTATTTAAATTTACAGGAACATTGGAACATCGTGTTACACCATGGACTGAAAAAAAGATAACGAAACGTGTTGTGAAGTCAACGTCATGGAGAGTTGAACCATGTTCAAACACTTTGTTTCAAGTACTGGATAATAACTTAAATGGGCTAGTCGATCTAAATGCAAAGACGTGTAGTTGTATGAAATGGCAAACATCTGGTTATCCGTGTGGCCATGTTATAAAAGTTGCTCTTCATTTAAACCAAGATGATTCAAGCGCATACGCTATGGATTGCTACACTACAGAAGTTTATCGACAGACTTATGCCGAGATTGTCTACCCTATTCCACATCCTTCTGAGTGGGACATACCAGATGACTTACAAACAGTTTTGCCACCAGCCATAGACAGAAGGCTACCTGGCCGACCAAAAAGTCACGATCGTATACCGTCTAAGGGTGAAGAGAAGAAGAGATCGACATGTAGTCGGTGCAAGGAAAGTGGTCATACAAGGTTGACATGTGGATCACCAGTGCCATCAAAATCATCTTTTCCTCTACCAAAATATGGATCCTCATCAAAATCCAAAGCTCATATGGTGTCAAGCAAAAGGCAACCATCTTTAAAATCCCAATCACAATTGGCTTCACCTTTTGGGACTGTTAACTTAGGTGATTTTTAAATGCAAACGTTGTATTATGTGGATTTTATGTGTGAACTTTTAACATTTTCAGTTGAATTAATGACTCAGGCCAACCATTTTGACTTAACCAACTCTTGTTATTCAGTTGTTATCACTATTAGGCATGCA